CTTTAGCATATATTGTGCACAGTTTTTGTTTTAGATAGCAGCTGCTTGTCTTCTTTGAAGCAACATATCACTAGTTGATTTTGGGCTGTACGTTGCTTTTATTGGTGGTATATTTTATGCTAGATGTTTGTGCTGCCGGGGGTCAAGAATTTCCCAGAGCAACTGTTGTTCAAAGTTAGAGCTATTTAAAAAAACAAGATAACCCCCCAAAACAATATTTTAAAATGCTACCTGGATTCCTGGTGTTGGCAATCTGAATGTATATTTTTCACCAAATACTCTCTTCATCCCTTGTTACATTAGAATAGAATAGAATAGAATAGAATAGAATAGAATTCTTTATTGGCGAAGTGTGATTGGACACACAAGGAATTTGTCTTTGGTGCAGAGGCTCTCAGTGTACATAGAAGAAAAGATACATTTGTCAAGAATCGTAAGGTGTAACCCTTAATGATAGTCATAGGGTACAAATAAGCAATCAAATCAGACTAGGAAACAATATAAATCATAAGGATACAAGCAACAAAGTTACAGTCATATGTGGGAGGAGATGGGTGATAGGGACGATGAGAAGACTAATAGTAATAGTAATGCAGACTTAGTAAATAGTTTGACGGTGTTGAGAGAATTATTTGTTTAGCAGAGTGATGGCATTTGGGGAAAAAACTGTCCATGTGTTCTGGTGTGCAGTGCATCATTTTGAGGTTAAGAGTTGAAACAATTTCTGTCCAGGCCTGTAAATATTTTCACGGCCTTCTTTTTGACTCGTGCAGTATACAGGTCCTCAGTGGAAGGCAGGCTGGTAATAATTGTTTTTTTCTGCAGTTCTAATTATCCTCTGAAGTCTGTGTGTGTCACAACTGTGTTGGGTTGCAGAGCCAAACCAGACAGTTATGGAGGTGCAGATGACAGACTCAATCATTCCTCTGTAGAACTGAATCAGCAGCTCCTTTGGGCAGTTTGAGCTTTTTGAGTTGGTGCAGAAGAAACATTCTTTGTTATGCTTGGGGTTTTTATCCAAAGTTTCTATTATGCAACAGCCTGCTTTGGAAAACTTCCCCTCTGCAAAGTTGCACAAACTCTTGTCTCTTTGCATTTCTGGGTGGGATTGTCAGGTTTGTTTTTCAGGGCATGCGGAATAAATCACATGAGTCTAATAGTCAAGGTTTTGAAAAGAAAAGAAAAAAAACAGCATGCAACTACAAGTATTGAAGGTGCTGTGTTCCTGTTTGCTCTTCCTTTGTGGGATACAACTCTTCATGGTTTATTTGCAAAATCCTCTCGGGCGTATTATGATCCTTGCCTTTAAGTTGTATGGAATCATTTCAGGGCCTCAAAATAGTGCAAGCCGACTGATGCCTGCAGCAATCCCTTCACTGTTTCTGTGGGATCCGCGGGGATGACTTAGCTCGGATTTCAAAAGTTGTGTGGGTTGCTTTTGTTGGTTTGATCCAAGTTCATAATTCTGTCACGGTGCGGTCCCTCCTAAAATATCAGTGCTGAATCAAACTTTAGACCTGAGTCTTGTTCCCCTGAGTAGCTGGTCAGATAAACAGAGGGGAGGCCCCTGCAATTCCTCAGCAGCTGATACTGAGACATAGATCTCTCTGTGCTTACCATCTGCTTCTTGATGGAACAAGAAATGTCTTCCAGACCACCAATGGCAGCTTCCTCATATGAAACACAGCAAAATATCCAATTCAGAAAATGACGCTAGCTTAAGAGGTTCAGATTTTAAACCAGGATAAGCTTTCAAGCAGTCTCAGAGTCCCTGCTGGCTGATGATCTGTCCTGTGGTTTTAAGCCCCTGTAGTTCCTATATATCAGTAGCAAAACTCATCCAGAGACCAAAATCCCACCTTCCTTTTCACCTTCGATGCTCAGAGCTTTGCAATGTTTACTTTAAGGGTGCCCAGCTTTCTGAGCCTTGTGTCTGTGCTTTTTCTCTCCGCTGCAGTGAGTCGGAAATCCTGCACCACGACAAACAATACGAGCCTTTCTACTCCTCTTTTGTTGCGCTTGCAACGCACTACATCACCACGGTGTGTGGAGTAGGTGAGTGAGCGCTCAGACATTCTGCTGCGGACTGTCGTTTGCCAAGTTTTTAAGGATGATTCTCTCCCCTCTGGAATTCTGTGAGGAGCGTTTCCAAAACTGGCTTAGAAGGCGGTTCGCAGAAGGGTTAGAAAGGACATAGCAGGAGGGAGGGGCATTTATCAACACCCAGAAAGGAGGAAGCAGAAAATGTGGTTTTTTTTTCAGATAGCCGTAGCAATAGCACTTAGATTTATATACCGCTTCACAGTGAGCTTTACAGTCCCCTGTAAGCAGTTTACAGAGTTAGCCTCTTGCCCCAACAATCTGGGTCCTCATTTTACCTACCTTGGAAGGATGGAAGGCTGAGTGAACTTGCAGCCGGCAGGATCGAACTGTTGGCAGTGGTCAGAGTTAGCCTGCAATACTGCATTCTAACCACTGGAAGGGAGGGAAGGAAGGAAGAATAGCACTTAGACTAGACTGCTTCACAGTGCTGTACAGCCCCCTCTAAGTGGCTTACAGAGCTAGCCTCTTGCCCCCAACAATCTGGGTCCTCATTTTACCCACCTCAGAAGGATGGAAGGCTGAGTCAACCTTGAGCCTGGAGGGATTTGAACTGCCAAATTGCAGGTAGCTGGCAGTCAGCAGTAGTAGCTTTCAGTACCACTGTGCCACCATGGCTCATATATCCGTAGGTTGGGGTAACATTCCGTTGCCTCTGATCCCATTGAGTGGCTCCTCTGAAGACCCAAAAGCCTCTGAATCTCCACCAGAGTCTCCACCAGAAATTAAAAGGGGGGGGGGGAGGCTACATTTCAAGGGGGGGGATTCTTAGATCAGCCAAGGCAAGGACATGGCATTGCTTAAAAGCTCCTCCCCCCCCTCAAACTGACGTAACCACATTGCCTTTTCAGTACCTCGGAACCAGCTGCAGTCTGTAGCAGCTGCCTGCAAAGTACTGATTGAATTCTCCCTGTTGCGACTTGAAAACCCAGATGAGGCCTGCGCTGTCTCACAGGTGAGGTGGGAGAGGTGGGGGGATAAATGAAAGAGAAAGAGAGATACAGAGAGAGATCAGAGACAGAGAGATCAGAGAGAAAGAAAGATGAAAAGAGACGAGAGAGAGAAAGATGAGAGAGAGAGACAAAGAGAAGGGGGGAGAGAAATGAGAGAAGAGAGATCAGAGAGAGAGAAAGAAAGAGATGAGAGAGACAGGGAGAGAGAGACGTGAGAGAAAGAGAGAGTGTGTGTGTCCCCCTTCTTCCCCGTTGGGGAGTTTCCGCATCATTTGCATGGGAGGCTCTTGGTTGAAGCTGACCCAGGATGCCGGGGTCTTGCTTGCAAGATGTGAGCATCTCGTGCCTCCGAATTCACAGCAGAGGCCATGCTGGAGGGGTGGGGACTCTGGGAATTGGTGCCTTCCCAGCTGGGGTCTGCTCAGGTTTGGAAAAGGTTCCCTGAACCTTGCACCGCTCACCTTTCTTTTGCTTCCGTAGAAACACCTGATCCTGCTGATCAAGGGGCTGTGCACTGGCTGCAGCCGCCTGGACCGGACAGAGATCATCACTTTCACAGCGATGATGAAGTCGGCCAAGCTGCCCCAGACAGTGAAGACCCTCTCGGACGGTAAAGGCTCCCTCCCCGTGATATCTTCTGCCCCAGCAAGGGCTGCTCCCCACCTCCGACTTGACCCTCTACTCCCGCTCCTCTTTTCCAGTGGAGGATCAGAAAGAGCTGGCTTCTCCTGTCAGGCCTGAACTGCGCCAGAAGGAGGTGCAGATGAACTTCCTCAATCAGTTGACCTCTGTCTTCAATCCCAAAATGGCCCTGTCGCCAATGACGATGCTGCAGGCTCAGGTGGGTTGTGGAAGAAAGAAGGTTGCCTGAGAAGGCTCGGGTTCCCTGGGGAAAATGGCTTCCCATCCTCCTTAGCGAGGGGCGAAGGGTCCCAAGGCTCTGGCTGGAGTTCTCGGGGAGCCTGCTTTGATGGCGGGAGATCATAGCTGTTCTGATCCAGCTCCTCAAACACGATGAACCCTTTGTAGTTAAATTAATGATTCATTTATTAGGAGTGCCAGCAGCCCCGGCAAAAAGTTTCTCTCTCTGTCTCTCAGCAGGCTAACAAGCCTGTCTGGCAGGGAGATGACTAGTTGTCTGCCATAACTATTCATCTCCACCCCCTGCCTTTTATCCCCAGAGCTAGGGTGGCAGCAGTGGCTCTTCCGTCCCAAGGACCGGCCCATATATTTCCACTGCTCTCCTCTCCTCTGCCTTTTATCCCCAGAGCTAGGGTTCTTCCGTCCCAAGGTCTGGCCCATAGATTTCCACTGCTCTCCTCTCCTCTGCCTTTTATCCCCAGAGCTAGAGTGGGGCTCCTCTAGCAGCAGTGGCTCTTCCGTCCCAAGAACCGGCCCATAGATTTCCACTGCTCTCCTCTCCTCTACCTTATGTGCATCTGCAATGAGGCACTGTGTTCCTCCTCTTCCTCATCAGCCACCTCCAGACCTGGAGGCTCTTGACTCTCCAACTGAGGGTGGACAGACGGCCCAGGCTCCGCCTCTGTCTCTCTCTCTCTCTGCCACCTCCAGTTCCCCTTCCACCCCGGAGCTCTCAGGTTGTCTCGATGCCGACATGATTCCCACGCTGTCTTCTCCTCTGATTCGGCTGCTGGAGGGGCCAGTGGCTGACAGGCCACAACAAAATAACACTTGGCTCTGCTTCTAGGGGGAAGGGGAAGGTGAAGAGCAGACTGCCACAGACCAATCCTCCACAACCAAAACCAAGAGCATATTTGTTGCCCAGAACGTGGCCAGCTTGCAAGAACTCGGTAAGGAAGGGGGTGGGGTGTTTTGTCTTGCTTGTCTAACAGAGCCTCCCCCGTTTCCGAAGGCGTCATCTGGAGAATGGGGGTGGGTGGGTGTTGGAGCTGCTTCCTTGCCACAACTGTGTTCTCAGACCCAGCCGGCTGCACCGCGAGTTAGAAACTACAATTCCTTTAAGGTGTTGGTGTTGGAAGTGCAGATAGCTCCCAACTTAACGACGGTTCATTTAGTGACTGTTTGAAGTGAACAACAGCACTGGGGGGGGGGGGAAAGCGACTTAGGACCATTCCTCACACCGTTGCGGCATCCTCCGTGGCCATGTGATTAACATTCAGCTGCTGGGCAGCTGGCTCACATTTATGACGGTTGCAGTGTCCCCCTTTTGTGACCTTCAGACAAGCAAAGAGAATATTGCAGTTTTGGTCACTACACTATAAAAAAGATGTTGAGACTCTAGAAAAGAGTGCAGAGAAGAGCAACCAGGATGATGATGGGACTGGAGGCTAAAATATATGATGAATGGTTGCAGGAACTGGGCTTGACTAGTCTAGTGAAGAGAAGGACCAGGGGAGGCAGGATAGCAGCCTTCCAATATTTGAGGGGCTGCCACAGAGAGGAAGGGGGTCAAGCTATTTTCCAAGACACCCGAAGGCCAGACAAGGAATAATGGATGAAAACTGACCAAGGAGAGATTCAACCTAGAAATAAGAGGAACTTTCTGACAGAAAAATCAACCCATGGAACAGAAGTTGCCTTCGGAAATTGTGGAAACTTCATTCTTGGAGGCTTTCAAAAAGAGATTGGACTGCCATTCATCAGAAAAAAATGAAGGGTCTCTTGCTTGGACTAGATGATCTATAAGGTCCTTTCCAATTCTGTTAATCTGTATTAAATTCTATGGGGAAGCCAGATTTACTTAACCGGGTTACTGAGTTAAGAACGGCAGCAATTCGCTTAACAAACGTGAAGAGAAATGTCATAAAACTGAGTGAAACTCACTTAAAGAATTCCTCACTTTGGCACCCGAAACATTGGGCTCAGTTGTGGTCATTAAGTCTATCTGTAATTTCTTGCCTCTTAGTCCCCCAGGGCCATTTGGCAGGCTCCTGCTGGGAACAAGACTCTTTTAAGAGGCTAGTCCTCATCATTTGCTTCCCTTTTCAATGCAGGCGGTTCTGAAAAGCTGCTGCGCGTCTGCTTGAACCTTCCGTACTTCCTACGCTATATTAACCGCTTCCAGGACGCCGTGTCAGCCAATTCTTTCTTCATCATGCCGGCTACTGTTGCTGATGCCACAGCAGTCCGTAACGGGTAAGCACCCGTCCTCTTTCTTCTGTGATTTCTTATGTCCTGGTTCTCCCCAACACCCCATAGGTTCTGAGCAGAACTCGATCTCTCCCCCGCCCATGTTTTATTAATTTTATTTACCATATTTTTCTGAGTATAAGACGAGCTCCAAAGTATAAGACGCATCTAGCTTTTGGGGAGGAAACAAGAGAAAAAAAATCTGTCTCTGCCTCCTTGCAACAAAAAGCAAACAGTACAGAATAATATACACTGTTTGTGGTGTTACATTCCATACTGTACTTGTACAGATGCTGTTAAAATTGAAAGTGGCTTTCTGGACGTATAGGTATTCTCTGCTGTTTAAAAGAAGATACAATAGCACTGGGCCTCTTCAGATCAAGCCTTTATTCTAAAAAAGCTTCTTCATTTTGTTAAGCTGCCTAGAACAATAATAAAACAGTCTTTAAAAAAATAAGTCTAATAATTTGAATATTCTATAGGCATTTATACTTACTAACTTACCTTCCTGCAGCAAACCACCTGATTAGCACAAGAAAAAAAAAACCTGCTGCTGCCTCCCAGCAATGCTGCCTTGTGGAGCAAACAGCATGTTTCACTTTCAGTTTAAGGGGGCCTCTGGATCATCAGCTGTTTCAGGTTGCAGCGATTGCTATAGCCTATTGCAGCCTTCGCAAGCCCCATTTTCCCCGTTTGCTGCAAGGAGGTAAATTGCTGGGTGGCAGAGGCCAAAGGGTGGGGGTCGGTGGGTGGGTGGGTCTACATTCAGTGTATAACACACACCCAAATTTTCACCCTCTTTTAGGGTGGAAAAAGGTGTGTCTTCTACTCTGAAAAATAAGGTATATTACTTTCCATTTCCACCGAACAGTGTGAGATCTGGGTTTTAGACAGTCAAAATCCACATTGTTATATTCATCACAATAATATTAATAATATAACTATATAGCAATATAATTACAACAATACATAACATTTTCATCATCGAATTCTCTCCATATTAACATTTCCTCTTTTTTTAATATCTTCTCCTTTCTAACTTCTGTTTCTATTGTCTAGCCATTGGTAAAATACATCCCACGTTAAAAAAATGTTAGTTTCTTCTTTATCCTTAATAGTGAGTGTTAATCTGTCCATTTCTACACATGCTAATATTTTCTTTATTACACTTCTCATCTGACGGGTGTTTCATCATTTTTCCATTGTTGCACAAATACAATTCTAGCAGCAGTTAATATATGTACCGTGTATTCCCAAAAATAAGAAAGGGTCCTATTTTTTTTTTTACTCCCGAAATAAGCACTTGGCCTTATTTTCGGGGAGGTCTTATTTTTGAGGTGCAGGAGGCGGTGAGCGTGGTCACTGCTGCTGTGTTGCAATATTTTGGGGGGCGGGGCTTATTTTAGAGCATGCACTCAAAAAGCTCGATTGGGCTTATTATCCGGGGAGTTCTTATTTTCAGGGAAACAGGGTAAAACCAGATATATAGTCTTCTTATCATATTTTTGCGGTAGAATGCCCAACAAAAAATATCTTGGGATTCAAATCAATATGCTGCTTTATCATTTTTCCCAACCAAGTATGTATTTTTGTCCAAATTATTTTAGCTTTTGGGCAGGGCCACCACATATGATGGTATGAACCTAGTGGTTGATTACACTTACAGGATTTGGCAGATCTATCTTTATACATTTTAACCAATCTTGCCGGTACAAAGTGCCATCTATAAAACATTTTATATAGATTTTCTTTATATGCAGTGGACATAGTCAAACTCGATCTCTTGACTCCCTTCCGTTTTCCCTCCACCTGTGCAGGTTCCATTCCCTGGTGATTGACGTCACCATGGCCCTGGACACGCTTTCCCTCCCCGTCCTGGAACCTCTGACCCCCGCCCGCTTGCAGGACGTGACCGTTCTCGCCCTCAGCTGCCTCTATGCAGGTGAATCCGTGCGACGTGGGAGCCAAGGCGAAATCCCTGGGGGGAGAGAGACTGTGTTGTTTTGGGTTCCTATACTTGAAGGAAGGAGAAGGAGCTTCCTGTGTTCCAGGAACAAAGGGGCAGGCAGGGAGAGCTTGATGTTTCTTCCCCTCCGCTCCTCTTCTCTCTCTGTTTCCCATTGTCAGACCTTTGGGGAAGATATTTTAATTTCCTTGAAGGGCTACCTGGGCTTACGATAAAAGCTCCCAAAGTCAGTTTGCTTTTAATAGCAATAACAGCCCTGACTTATATACCACTTCACAGGGCTTTGCAGCCCTCTCTAAGTGGTTTACAGAGTCAGCCTATCGCCTCCAGACAATCCGGGTCCTCAAACGAACTCGTAAAGATGGAAGGCTGAGTCAACCTTGAGCCAGTCTTGTCAGGATTGAACTGCTGGCAGTTGGCAGAATTAGCCTACAATACTGCATTCTGGGAAGGAAGGAAGGAAGGAAGGAAGGAAGGAAGGAAGGAAGGAAGGAAGGAAGGGTGGGCACTTAGACATATACCGCTTCACAGTGCTTTTACCTCTAGGAGGTTTACAGAGTCAGCCTTTTTCCTCTAACAATCTGGGTCCTCATTTGACCTACCTTGGAAGGATGGAAGGTTGTAATGATGCAGGGGGGAGGCCTCTCACTCATCATCCCCCATCACATGATGAGACTCGAGGCCTTGAGTTGGTCCCCGTTGCTCTGGCTGACCCCCAGGATCCTTCCTCTCCCCCCAGGGGTCAGCGTGGCCACCTGCATGGCCATCCTACACGTGGGCACCACCCAGCAAGTTCGCACGGGCTCCACCAGCTCCAAAGAAGAGGACTACGAAAACGATGCTGCCATCATTGTACAGAAATGCGTGAGTCAGACGCACACACAGGATTGGGTGGGGGGGAGGACCTGCGAGGAAACCATGAACTCCAGCTGACATTTGCAGCCGCGAAATTCTCGAGGGAGCATTGGGGCTGGCATCAGCTGGGCTTTGGTCTCTTTCACGAGACCCTTTTATAATTTTTTTAAAAATCCATCTCTTTCCGCAGTTGGAAATCTACGACATGATCGGCCAAGCCATCAGCAGTTCCCGCCGGGCAGGTGGGGAGGTAAGAGCGGAAAGGAGCTAAACATAAAATAAAATAAAATAAGCAATTCTCCCGTGCCGTCCTCTGGAGCGGCAATCACAATGTGATGTGTTTGTGTGTGTGTGTTTTTTCCTTTTTCTGGAACTCCAGCACTACCAGAACTTCCAGCTCCTCGGGGCCTGGTGTCTGCTGAACAGCTTATTCCTCATCTTGAACCTCAGCCCGACCACCCTGGCCGACAAGGGGAAAGAGAAGGACCCCCTGGCAGCCCTTCGGGTCCGGGATATCATTGTGCGGTCCAAAGAGGGTGTGGGGTCTCCCAAACTTGGACCTGGCAAAGGGTAGGTCTCGCTCTGAGCAGGGCGAGTCCTTGGGAGGGGGGGGGGGAGAAGAGACTTTTCCTTGCTGTTTCTTCTGCCTTTGATGCTGGGGGTTAAAGCGTGGTGTGGAGAATGCAGCTTCTTTCCATGTCTTGCCCTCGGCCGAGAGATCCTTCCTGAGCTGGTGCCCGCTCTCTCCTTTCCTCACCTCCTTTCCTCCCCCTTCTGCAGGCATCAGGGGTTTGGCATCCTCTCCGTCGTCCTGGCCAATCACGCCATCAAGCTCCTCACTTTGCTCTTTCAAGACCTTCATGTGGAGGCCCTTCAGAAGGTGAGCGCTTGACGAAGGGACAGGCAGGTCCTCAGAATTGCTCTGAGGGTGGTTGGGTGTCCAGGTGTGTTTTGATATCTTTTATCCTCCCAGAGGGGATGCCCTGGCTCAGTGGCTAAGACGCTGAGCTTGCTGATCAGAAAGGTCGGCGGTTCGAATCCCTAGTGCCACGTAATGGAGGGAGCTTCCGTGACTTGTTCCAGCTTCTGCCAACCTAGCAGTTCGAAAGCACGTAAAAATGCAAGTAGAAAAATAGGAACCACCTTTGGTGGGAAGGGAACAGCATTCTGTGCGCCTTCAGGAGTTGAGTCATGCCAGCCACATGACCATGGAGATGTCTTTGGACACTGCTGGCTCTTTAGCTTTGAAACGGAGATGAGCACCGCCCCCTAGAGTCAGGAACTACTAGTATGTATGTTTGAGGGGAACCTTTACCTTTTTATCCTCCCTGTGGGGGGTGGCTCTCATTCTTCAGGGCTGGGACACAGACGGCCCTCCGGCCGTTCTGAATATCATGGCCCAGAGTACATCGATCCAGAGGATTCAACGCTTGATCGAGTCGGTGCCTCTTGCCAACCTGCTGTTGACCTTGCTCTCCACGGCGTATCGGAAGGTGGGCGAGGGCCACTTCTAGATGTCTCTGGGTGGTGGGAAATGACCCCCCCCCTCCTTGGTTCTCTCTGCTTCGAGCGTTTTCCCATCGAGAGAAAAGAGATCGGCCACGGTGGGGCTTGAAGGGGAAGTTGTGGGTTTCCTGGCTTGTTCTCGGTGGTGTGAATCTGCCCCGTGTGGGAGGGAGCGGGGCCTTATCATTCGGGCACGGTGCAAACCCCACCCAGGGAAGAAGCAGAGTGACTGCCCTAGATTAGCAAGGAAGGATGGGTTGCTTGTAGGCTCTGCTTTTCCAAGGGGGGCAACATGAAGCCTTGTTCGCCCTCACATCTGAGATTTTCTCCAGGGAGCGGTCATAAGGTTTGGGGGGGATATACTCACTGGCTGGGCTTTTGTGACACCCCTCCCCTTCCCCCACCAACCCCTCCTCCCTCTTTCAGGCTTGCGTCCTGCAGAGACAACGAAAGGGGTCCATGAGCAGCAACGTCAGCGCCTCCACAGACTCCAACACCTACTACGAAGACGACTTCAGCAGCACGGAAGACAGCAGCCAAGGTGGGGGGTGGGGGGGAAGAGGAGGCTTCAGTGGGGAAGGGACGGGGGGGTCCGTCCTGAATACAGTGGATGGAAACTACCAAGGAGAGATTCAACCTAGAAACAAGGTGGAACTGTCTGACAGGGAGAACAATCAACCCCATGGAACCGAAGTTGTGGCAGCTTCATCCCTGGAGACTTTCAAGAAGAGACTTGGACTGCCATTTTTCAGAAATGGCGGAGGGTCTCTTGCTTGAGCAGGGGGTTGGACTAGATGACCTACATGGTCCCTTCCAACTCTGTTAATCTGGAGAGGGAGGTGATGGTGGGGTGATGGAAGGCCCTGAGCCGTGTTCCTGGCCCTTCAACTGTCTGACTTGTCCCTTTCCCCTCTTTTCAGACGACGACAGTGAGCCCATCCTTGGTCAGTGGTTCGAAGAGACCATCTCCCCCAGCAAGGAGAAGGTGGCCCCTCCTCCCCCTCCTCCCCCACCCCCTCTGGAGAGCTCCCCCCGGGTGAAGAGCCCCAACAAGCAGTCGGCAGGAGAAAACGGGAACATCCTGGCCAGTCGCAAAGACCCGGAATTGGTGAGCTATCCAGGCCTCTGCCTCAAAGTCAAAAGTTCTGGGGCTGCCTTCCTCCTTTTTATTATTTTTCTTTCTTAATCGATGCCTTTGTCTTTGTCTTTCTTTTTTCTTTCAGTTCTTAAACCTGGCTTCCAATATCCTCAACTTCCTAACGTCCTCCATGCTGGACTCGAAGAACAATTTCATTCGCAACTACCTGAGCGTCTCTCTGACGGAGCAGCACATGGCCACTCTGGCCAGCATCATCAAAGAAGTGGACAAGGACGGGCTCAAAGGTCAGGAAGGGGAGGGGAGGTCTCCCTCACCCCCAACCCACACATCGAGCCTCGGAGGTGGCGGGGGGGGGGGGGGGGGGGCAGAGACATATGCCCAGTTATCAGCTGCCTTCAGAGTCAGACATCAGGGGGGGGGGGGGGGGAGACTGAGAAAAACCTGCTTGGCTGAAAAGTCTAGGACAGTTTCTGCCTCTCAGAGTTTGGCAGTGACGAGCTGGATGGGGAACTAAATTCATGGAGGTTGCAGTAGAGGCGAAGAAGTGGGGGGGGGGCAGGGGGAGGTAGTCTTCCCTAGGAGGAAGAGATGGACTGATGGGCTTCCTTCTTACCCAAGAAGGGACCCATGGGAAGATCCTGCCCTGGAGTTCTTGAGAAGGTTGGAGAGGGGTTGGCCTCACCTGGTGACTCTTGTGCTCCTGTAGGGACCTCCGAGGAAGAAGAGTTTGCGGCTGCACTGTACCATTTCAACCATTCCTTGGTGACCTCTGACCTCCAGTCTCCGACCTTGCAGGTGATTCTGGCTCGCTAGTCCGGGAGGAATATTTGTCAGTTAAACTGCCAGTTATTAGGAATAATAATTAGGAAATCTCCATCGTGTTCTCATTTTGAGCTTCTTGGTGCTTTTCTGGCAGACGTTTTGTGACCCAAACTAGGTAACATCATCAGTGCTAGAAAGGACAATATATAAATCGCACTCCTTTTTTTTTAACACTGATGATGTTATCTAGTTGAGTCATGAAACATCTGCAAGGAAAAAACCAAGCTCAGAGGGCACCAGGGACCCCCTCGTTTCAACCCATTTCAATATTCTCCTTTATTGTAGTTTTAAAAAGGGAGTGGCTTAGAGGTGGCGCTCTCGCCTCACAATCGGGAGGTTCTGGGTTCGATCCTAGGAAGAGGCAGATATTTCTCTTTCTGGGCGCATTGGGAATATATCTAGAATAGAATAACAGAGTTGGAAGGGACCTTGAAGGTCTTCTAGTCCAACCTCCTGTTTAGGCAGGAAACCCTCCACCACTTCAGGCAAATGGTTATCCAACATCTTCTTAAAAATGTCCATTGTTCACAACTTCTGGAGGCAAGTTGTTCCGCTGATTAATTGTACTAACTGTCAGGAAATTTCTCCTTAGTTCTAAGTTGCTTCTCTTCTTGATTAGTTTCCACCCATTGCTTCTTGTCCTGCCCTCAGGTGCCTTGGAGAATAGTTTGACTCCCTCTTCTTTGGAGCAATCCCTGAGTTATTGGAAGACTGCTATCATGTCCCTCCATGTCCTTCTTTTCATTAAACTAGACATACCCAGTGCCTGCAACTATTCTTCATATGTCTTAGCCTCCAGTCCCCTAAATCTTTTTTGTTGCTCTTCTCT